GGCGCGGATACTGACGGGCGAGGAGGAGGGCGCGTGCGGCTGGGTCACGGTCAACTACCTCAAGGGCAACTTCCTCCAGGCACGAGGCGACCCGCGCTGGCTGGGGCGCGATTGCTTTGAGCTCCGATTTCTCCGTTCGCTTCGTCGCTTCATTCTAATCGCTCTCGCCGTGTTGGCCACTCTCGCCCAAAGGGTACTCGGCCCTGCTCTCTTGAGTCGTCGCCCGGTGAAAGAGGCAGCTCTGGTGGCGGGGTTGAGGGGGTGGTGGAGGGGGGGCGGCATTGTATGGCTGACCTTCCACCTCCAGTAAAAAAAATGTGGGGGGAGGGGGGGTATGAAGCTGCGTCCTTTCCTTCCTACGCCCGTGTGCGCCATCCAAGCGGGTTGAATTGAGCTCTGCTGTGCTTGTGAGGAGTCACCAGACGATGACCGAGCCGGGGGTGAACCTGTGCTCATACACGTCCTCCAAACCAGAGGTTTTCCTTTTGTGTCAGTGACAGAACTAACCCCGGCGCAAATCAAAACCATCGCCGTCGTATACCATCATTAAGCAGGCATTCCGTTGGTTTATTCGGTTCGTTAATTATGTAATGATTGCTTTGTTCCACCATTTTTTGGTTCACTTCATTCATTTGTTTACATTGAGCATAAGATTTACTGAAGCGCTTGTGCCCACCAAACATAAAATCGGAACTCTTCATCGACGTTGAGACACAAACCAGCTGTGCCATGCCCGGGTCAAAACCCATTAAGTGCAAGGTCACAAAAGTGGGGTTGCGAGTGAAGATTAAAGTTTCAAGTTCCCCCACCATCTTCCCTCCTCTCCCTTGACCCCCCCCCCCTCCACGCGTGGCGCTGCAGAGTCCCGACGCGTCGTGGGTGGCGAGCGCCATGCGCTGGTGGCGCCCGGAGCCGCTGGTGACGCACGGGGCGCTGGACCTGGGGGGCGCCTCCACGCAGATCTCGTTCGTGCCGCGGGACCCCCCCCGGCGCGACGCCTCGTCCTTCCGCCTCTTCGGCTCCGACTACGCCGTGTACACCTACAGCTACCTGTGCTACGGCCGCGACCAGGCCAGCCTGGCGCTGCTGCGCACGCTCGTGGCGGTGCGTGCCCAACGCGGCGGCCGTGCGGACCTCGATCGGGCGCCGCGTGCGAACGGCGCTTCGGCCCCGACGGTCTGCCAGAGGTCACGCGGGGGGGTTCTGCTGTGTGCGCAGTGCAGGCCGCGCGCGGGAACGACACGGCGCCGAACCCGTGCTACAACGAGGGCTACCGCCGCTCCTGTGCGCCTCGCGGACCTCTATGGCGGCGGCTGCTCGCGAGCGCCGCACCCGGGCGGAGGCACGTGGGACCCGGCGGGGAACACCACCACGGTCACCCTGGTGGGCACGGGCGACTGCGGCGCGGTGCCTGCGGGCCGTGCGACGCATCTTCAACTTCTCGGCGTGCGACAACCACACCGAGTGCTCCTTCAACGGCGTCTACCAGCCGCCCGTGGACGGCGGCTTCATGGTGAGGAGAGTCAGAGCGGTCCGCCAGCGTGCAGCGCTTCCCGAGAGCCCTCGGGTCTAAGTGTTCGCGCGTCACTCGTGCCCCCCGTGTCCCACGGTCTCGTGCCCCGTGTCCCACGGTCCCCGTGATTCGTGTCCCCCGTGTCCCACGGTCTCCGTGTCTCGTGTCCGCATGCAGGCGTTCGCTGGGTTCTACTTCACCATGCAGAGCCTGAACCTAACGCACGGAGACGGCACGGCAAGTGTCGCCACCTTCAACTCCAAACTGGCCACCGCGTGCTCGCGCCCCTGGACACAGGTGAGCGGAGGGACACGGTGACATAGAGGGGTGCATGGCACGAAGCATAATTCAGATTTTGAGATTGTGTTTAGCATCGGTTACACGGCTTGCACCTCACGATGCCCACGAGGTCGTGTGGACAGGGTTAACCAAAATTTGCCAAAAGCTGTCCCGGCGACACGGGACCCAACGAAACGGGCAGGGAAGAAGGGGAATGATGGGGCCCCCCGCTGCACTTCGTGTTTTGGCGAGAATGAAGATTTAAATGGGGAGGGAAAAACGGGGAGGGGGGGGGGATATAACCAACATGGTAAGGGGGTAACGAAGGGCAAATAAAGAGGGGGGGTAGGGAAAAAGAGGGGGAGATGGGGGAACCAAGGAAAACAAAAAATATCTGATACTCGACACGCCACTAATGAGCTGTGATGCTGACCTTCCACCCTTCACGGTGTTTTAAACCTGGGTCAAAGGTTGCTCACGGCGAATCATCGACGGTTTATTCCGGGCAGAGGCAGCGAGAACTCGCTGCCTCTGTGCGGTGACAGCCACTCGAGCGCCGTGGGCCGGCACGGGGCGCTCGCTACGACGCCGACCGAGAGCGGAGGCCCCGGCGAGCGCGCCGCGCCCCGAGCCGCGCCCCGAGCCGGCTGGGGCCAGCCAGCCCCGGGCGCAGCGACGTCCCAACGCGCCCCTCCTGGCGGCTCACAGCCCGCACTGACCGCACTGACTGCCTGTCGTCACGAGTGCAGGCGCAGCAGGCGAACCCGGGCACTCGCGAGGACCGGCTGCGCGACGTCTGCTTCAACGGAAACTACGTGCAGAGCCTCCTGCTGGGGGGCTACGGCTTCACGGAGGAAAGCTTCGCCAAAATCCGCTTCCTCAAAAGCGTGAGTCGCTGCCGAGACGCAGCAAGCGGGGGGGGGGGGGGGGGGGGACCGCCTGATTTGGGGCAAAGGGAGGCGGATTGATTCACACAAAACTAAACTGTTTTTATTCGACCAGGTAAGAAGCGACCTGGCCACAAAAATGCCAGCTCAACGAAGTGGCTTACTATGTGGAAATGTATAGCAGCCAAACTCGAAACGTGCGATGTGGATTCTGAATGTGGAGGGAAAAAACGGAGAACCCGGGACCACAGAGAGAACATGCAAACTCACAAATATAAAGGTGCCACGGGTCGGGATCAAACCCACGACTTCCTGCATACCAGGCAAGGAGGGAAGCCAAGTAGTAGTACATTCTCTATTTGTTGCCACTGTGGCGTAACTTGACCGAGTAGTGGAAGCGAAACACACGCATGTACACGAGCATGTACACACGCATGTACACGAGCATGTACACACGCATGTACACACTGCGCTCGGCGACGAGCTCCGAGCACACTACTTGGCGAACGTCCAAATGCCACGCAATTTGAACACCACCCGTCTCACGCCGCACTCCCAGGGGCCGCGCCGGCACTGCCGAGGTTGAGTTCAAGCCCCGGGTTTCGGGTGCCCTCCCGGTCTCCTGTGCGCGTGCAGATCGAAGGCAGCAGCCTGGGTTGGACCCTGGGCTACATGCTCAACCAGACCAACATGGTGCCGGCGGTCCAGCCGCCCAGGGGCTCCTTCCTGCCCGTGGGTGCCTGGTCGACGCTGCTGCTGCTCTTCTGCCTCCTCCTCCTCGCCTCCCTCGCCATCTGCTTCGTCCTCGTCCTCCGCGGCGGCAGCAAGCGCTGCGCAGGAGGCGGGCGGCGCGGATGCGGCGATGATGAGCTCCACCGTCGTGTCGTGAGGTGGTCGGGGGCGCCCGCCCCCCCCCCTCGCAGCCCGTGGCGTCGGTAGGGGGGGGGTGGCAAAGGGGGAGTTCGCGCAACGGGGCAGTGCGGTGGTGCGTGGGTTGAGGACCAGTGGGGTTCGTTCGGCGGCCCTGAGCGGCGATTTTAAGGCTTGACGACCTGCAGCTTCTGGCATCAACTTGACCAGGCAGTGTAAGGGAAGCAGGCTTTGAGACAAAATTAAGAACAAAACGCATACATTAGATGACGCTTTCTAGCACGCGTTTGTCTTGGGAAGTATTTAATTAGCAGCACGCAAGCCGACGGCGGATAGGGCTGTCAAATATGCAAATGCATTTTCACGTTTTGCAAACATTCGATCCAACGTTTGTTACACGGAGAAAGCCGCTTTGGCAGGTACCCAGCTCGGTTTACAAAGGCTAACTGTGGTGATTAATAATTATCGATGTTTGGTTTTCTCTCAGGCAAGTCCACAACTTTACACGAAAAGTTTCGTTCACGGTGGAATCATCTCTAAGAGGGGTTATCGCCCCCCTCCCTCTCCCCTCTTTTGTAGACGGAGGATAATGCATAAACTCGTCGGATGAAAGGTGTTAAAAACGAGAATTGTATCAGTCGGTAGCCTCGGGATTGTTTATTTTTCCCTTCTTGCAGCAGTGCTATTTCTGAAGCTCCACGAGTTGTTTCTCGTCCACCTCTGTGCGTGCTCACCGCGTCATTCCCACCTCTGTGCGCTCACCACGTCGTTCCCACCTCTGCGCGCTCACCGCGTCGTTCCTACTCGCGCTTCCAAGGCCACGCTGAAGCGCGTTCGTTAGCTTAACCTCCAATATGAATAACAGCCCAGGCCTAGAATTAAAGAGTTGTTTCTACAGAAATTGTTACATTTACCCAACGCTCGAATAACGCCGGCTGTGCGCGGACACCCGTCCGTGTTGCGTGTCCCGTTGCTGGCACCTGCGACGCGGCTTTGCAGGTGGAGGCGTGTAAGTGGAACTTCTTTCGCACCCAACCGTGCTCATCGGAGGTGCCAAGCGTGGCTGGGCGTCCTCCTCCTGGGCACAGCGCTACCCCCAGGGGTCGAGTTCGTGCCGCGGGTAGCGGGCTAACGGCGGGCGCTGGTCTTTTGAAAATCTCAGGGTGGCATGGGGGTCGCACGCGAAATCCCGGGCGAGCACACTGGGCTCGGGGATTTTGCTGCGATGGTGCAGACCGGCTGGAGCCGTCCCCACCGCTGTGGAGGACTCGGGGGGGGGGGGGGGGGGGGGGGGGAGATCCATCGCAGGCTGAGCTCGGGCTGTTGCGCCGGGGCGACCGCGTCGTGAGCAGGGCAGCGACGGCACTTCCCCGTGGAGCTCAGAAAACCCCGACGCGGCTTGGGGCTTTTTGCGACAGTTTTGTTTTGTGCACGCGCAGTCGTTTGGTAAATTATCTGTACGCTGATGTTTATTAAAAAAAACTAAACACCCCGAAAACCAACGAATGTACAAGTTTGACGCCTCCCTGATGAACAAGGCAACGTCCGGGCACAGCGATGGTGAAGCGGGGAAGAGAGCGAGGTGGCGATGGTTTCTGCTCCTCCCCCGGACAGACGGAGCACGGGGGAGGGAGTCGTTTCATGCGCCCGCCCGCTCAGGATCTTGCCCCCCGCGCCTACTCCTTGTCCGCGAACTTGAAGGTCTTGAGCGGGTCTTGCTGCTGCCTCTGCAACGCACACCGCGCCACGCCGCTCGCTCAACACCCACGAAATCCCTTCGACCCGTGGCGGAGCGCAGTCGGCATGGGCCCCGGTGCGAGGAATCAAATGGGTGCCACCCCACCGCACTCCACCACCCCTCCCCCCCAATGCCCGCTCCCCCCTCATGTTATCGCCGTTCCCCTCCCTCGTCACGGCTCCAGGTGCCAATGGCGCGTTCCGCTCATGCGGCTCGAGTGACGGGGTCACGGACGCCCGACCGCGCAAACCGATGTGGCCGCTACCCCTCCCGAGTCCCGGCCGTCGGCCACCGCCCTGGGCCACCGCTGCCTTCGTCGCCCCCACCTCCCCCGCCCCCCCTCTTCGTAGTACTCCCTCCGGCGCGTGGACGCCCGATGCTCGGTAGCCACGTTGTCGCCGCACGCGTGCGCGCTCACCTTGGGTCTTCTGGTGGTGGTCGTGCTCGGGCCAGGCGTGTACCGCTTCCTGCTTCCCCGCGTGGGCCGCGCAATCTGCTTCAGCGTGGGCGGGACTGGGGAGCGGGAGGGGCGGAGGCGAGGGGAGAAAGCGTTTTGGGGGAGTTCAAATCCACGCGGTTCCACGACCGCGGAGACGCGAGGCCACGTGCTGCCACCCGGTGGTCGAAGCAAGCGGCTCTCGCGATCGGAAGGTCGCGAGGTCAAATCCTGGCTAGGGTCAACTTCAGCCCATGAGCCTTCTCGTGTTGGTTAAGTACCAGAGATCACAAGAGGTAGCAGCACTATGTACAAACCTGCCTCTACCATAATAATGTGGAATTTCCACCAGTGGTAGATTAGCATCAATCCCTACTGAGCAGTACATGTATGTATGAACATTGAAATAATGTCACACCGTGCGTAGCCAACCGTGCTAAATAGAGGAATGCGAACGATATTCTTTGGGTATTTCGGTAAAGTCACGTAGATTGGTTCAAAGAAAATAACAAAAAACTACGACGTTTCGATCGCAACACAAGCGGTCGTCATCAGGACCGCTTGTGTTGAAACGTTGTAGTTTGTTGTTATTTTGCTATTTCCTTGGAACCTAGCTATGTGACTTTACCGAAAGACCCAAAGAATATGAATTCCTGCAGTCACGAAGGGGAGGCCGGGCGCGGTTGCACCGCCTGCGCGCTCCTCCATGTTCATAACGCTGCAAAATCAGCGAGTAAAACCGCACGAGGCGAGCGGGGAGGAGCAAGAAACAATACCAACGAGACGATGCAAACGAGCACGCGTCCAGCGAATCCGATCCCTGCAGTACGGCCATTGGCCAAACTGCCGACCCGCCGAGCGCTCGCGATCCAGACGGCGGCGCAGGCTGTGCGGCGACGACAGAGGCTCGGGCGACAGCGCCCCCCGGTGGGCCCGGGCCACCGCGCGCTCCCCGCTCCCGGGGCGCCGTGCGGACAGCGCCGGGGTGGGGGGGGGCGGGGAGGGCGGGCACGGTTGCACCGCCTGCGCGCTCCTCGATGGTCGCCGCCTGCGCCCGGCGGGGGGAACTCACTGAGGTAGTCGGGGACGTTCCTCATGTGCGGCTTCACGACGGCCGGGTGCAGCGCCCGGTCATGCCGCAGCAGCTGCAGGTCGCGCGGGTTGTCCTCAAAGTACGTCTGGACACAGGAGGCGTGCGTGAGCACACACACACACACACGTGTGATGGTCACGTACGCAAACGCTTAGCGCGCCCGTAAGCGCACGATTAACACTCACATGCACACACGCGTGAGATCACGCTCACTTAAGCACATGCGTGACGCTCATGTACGCGCACGCACGACACGTACACACAATGTATGCGCTGACACACGTGACATGTACACACGTTGCATTCGTGCTCATAGGCCAAGGCCTCCACGACTAAATCCTTAGGCCTCCACACAACCTCCAAGCCTTCACTAAGTCACTAAACTCCAATTTCTCTGCTCTACCACGAGGTCTTGGACGAGGCCGCCAGGTGTACAGACACCCCGAGCCTGGCGCTAAGCCCCCAGGGGCTTCCCCTCCACCCCGAGCGGGCGACACGCCGGAGCTTGTGGCGGCACGAGTGATGGAATCGCGGGCGGCACCTTGAGCTTGTCGGAGTTGAGCAACTCCTGCTTGATCTCCTTCAGACGCGCCTCCTTGATGGCCTGCTTAGTGACGGAGTGCATGGCGTCCTGCAAAGACAAAGATCCCCCTTCAACAGACTGTGCTGTCATAGGTGTCAGCGAGCACCTATGAAGGCCGGCACGGCACACGAAAGGGGTGGGTGGCCAGAAGCATGCACGGCCCTCTACATGCGCACACAAAGACAAAGGCCCCCCCCCCCCCCGTATAGCCTTAACAGTCTGTTGGAGCAAGTGCTGTTATAGGGAGCACCTACGAAGGCCGGCATGGCACACGAGGGGGTTAGTAGCCAGCATCACGCCCGGCCGCCTTTGGCTGCCGAGTGGCGATGTTTACACGTCGCACCAGGTACTTGTTTGACGTTGAGTCGACCTCGCGAAAGCCCATGAACGGTTCAGATAATATAATCGTCACTGGTGTTGGCCGTGAGCGGTAATCGAACTCGGGTCGCCGGGTTCGTAGCACGGGCGCGCCGACTGTTACACTACCACTCCACACACACAACACGACTGCTACACTACCACTCCACACACACACACAACACGACTGCTACACTACCACTTTACACACACAACACGACTGCCGTCAGTGTTCGCGCGGTTCACACGGGAAGCTCGTGGCGCCGCAGCTGCCACCTTTGTGGCGAGAGAGCCGGGGGGGTCGCGCGAGGGCCGAGCGTGGCCGCGGGAGAGCGAGGGGCCCCGAGCGGAGGCTTACACACCGTGCAGCGGTAGCGGAAGCCCTCGATCTCCGCCATGCGGAACTGGTAGGGCTTCAGAGCCGCGCTCTCTTTGTCTCCTGCAACGGCAGCGGGAGACACGGGCGCTGTCGGCTCGCGGTTCTCACAGAAACACGAGACACCATCGGACCAAAAATGTTCCCGAACAAAAGACATCCTCAACGTGAAATCTTGACACTCCGAAACCGCCTTGGGTGAATATAAAATAACGATTGTGATTATGGGTGGCCGCTCGCTGCTCCAATGACGTGACTTTCCGTGTCCAGAGTCGAGGGACCACCAGAGGATGGGAAGTGGGGTAACAGTCTGCACTGCGTGTGATCACTGAAGTTCTCGACCCAAGGTGGGGTGGGTGACAGGGTTAGGGCAGAAGCAGGTGGGTGAATCTGTTGTACGAGATGGATGTGTGGGGGAGGGGAGTAGGGGGTGGTGGACACAGGCAACTGACCTGCTAGGATCGTCTCCACCTCCTGCAGCAGCGACATCTCCTTGTGGTTGACGAACGTGAGTGCCGTGCCCTGGTTGTCGGCCCGTGCCGTCCTGACAGCACCATCAAAATATCGAGATCAGTGCGAGATGGAGGGGAGGTCGAGGGGAGGTCGAGGGGAAGTCGGGGGAGGTCGAGGGGAGGTCGAGGGGAAGTCGAGGGGAGGTTGGCGAGGCGCCGCGTACTTGGTATGCAGCACGACGTGGATTCCTGCAGCGTGTTCTCAACGAGGCATGCACACATACACAAAGATCCCCCGTATAGCCTCAAGAGACTAAGTATTGGCCGTGAATGAGAATCGAACCCGGGTTGCCGGGTTCATCGCGCAGCGCGCTAACTGCTACACTACCGCTCCCCACACATACACAAAGATCCCCCGTATAGCCTTAACAGACTGTAGGGGAAAGTGCTGTTAGCGAGCACCTATATAGGCCGATACGGTACACGAGGGGGTGGGTGGCCAGCACCACGCCCGACCGCCTTTGTCTCCCCCGTGGCGATGTTTACACACCGCACCAGGTACTCATTTGAGGCTGAGTCGACCTAGGGGAGGCCCAGGACCGGTTCAGAAAATCGTCACTGGTGTTGACCGTGAGCGGGAATTGAACTTGGGTCGCCGGGTTCGCAGCGCAGCGCGCGAACCACTACACTACCGCTTCCCGCACACATACACACACATACACACACATACACACACATACACACATACACAACTCCATCGCCCGACTCACCGGCCCACGCGGTGGATGTACGCCTCCACTGTGGGCGGGAAGTCAAAGTTGATGACGTTGGACACGTTCTGGAAGTCGATGCCCCGGGCCACGCTGTACTCCTTGTCCTTACCCCTGCACGAGCACATGGCGACAATGAGAGACCGCACAGTTCCCACGCGACGTCGACTTACGCAGCGGAGTCGAGACGCAACGGCGTCTGGAGATGCTGTACGGAAACATTTTTATTTTATAGAGAGGGGCAGTCAAGTTAGTGCGGTCTTGATCCTGGACTTGAAAAGGTATCAGGGTTGGATTCTACGTGGGTCTCTGTGTAAGTCTGTTTGTCTCTATGCGAGTCTATTGGTCTCTATGTGAGCCTATGATTCTCTGAGGGCTCATACAACATAATGCAATTTGGTTTACATATAGTCTAATAATTGACTGCATCACGAATGGCTGTAGAGAAACAGAAGACATTGACTTCAAAGAGTGAGAGCGAGAAGCAGTCAGAGAGACAGAGGCTGTCACTCATAGTCAGTCGAGATGATAAATATCTTGAATTTGGACTTTAACAGGGGAGTTCACAGGATGGACGGCTGGGGGAAGGGATTTTCAGACCCCGAGGGCAGCAGAGCAGAATGAGCGACCTCCCACTCAAGCGCAGGTTAACCGGGGGTTTTGACTGGAAGCCTCATTTGCCGGAGCGGAGGGATGCGTGAGGAGTAGAGTGGGATGAGAGTGGAGAGGCGAGATAGGCAGGGGAAAAGCCAGGGAGGATTTCAAACGTTTTAAATTTTGTACCCGTTCCACGAAAAGTACTGTAAACCGAAATAACTAAAAATATAATTCACTTATAAGTAGAAAAAAAGTAAAAATCACTCCGAGTGTGCAAGAGAGCTGTTCCCACTGCCAAAACAGAAAACACAATGTAAACAAAGCCAGACTTGATTTGAAGCTTTCATGACTGCAATAATTACTCTTTGGTTCTTTCGGTAAAGTCACGTAGAAAGGAAATAAATTAAATAATAGAATACGACGTTTCGATTGCAACACAAGCAACCGTCATCAGGTAGAATTTATTTTTGTTACCAGGATCTCATAGGTCCATTCACTCTTTCTCTCCCCCGGCCGCTTCGGGTTGGATTTCCACACATCTCTCTGTGTATCTGTTTGTCAAATTTCACTCTTTGGAGATCGTAATCAACCAGGCTATGCGTTAGCTGTGTGTTAGCCGACTCTCTGTGTTGCACTGCATTACATTTCCAAAAAATGTGCTAAATTTAGTTCTCAAACTGCCTATTTCTCTAAAATTTACCAGGCTCTCATAGCTCCATTCACACTTTCTCTCCCTCGGTCACTTCGGGGTGGATTTCCACACAACAATCTTTAAAATGTACCAGTCTTGTTGAGTCTTTCAGTGACAAGCTAATTTCTCTGCTCCAGCAGACTCACCTCTCTCTATATTTAAGGCCTCGACACAGAGGCATTGGGTCTCTGTGTGTCTGTGTTGTGCGTCTCTCTCTGTGTGTCTGTGTTGTCTCTCTCTGCTTGTGTGTCTGTCTGTGTGTCTCCGTGTCTGTGTTTTGTCTCTCTCAAATTTTGTTCTCCCTGATGACGGTTGCTTGTGTTGCAATCAAAACGTCATACTCTATTATTTAATTTATTTTCTTTCTACGTGACTTTACCAAAATAACCAAAGAGTAAACAAAGCGAGTTGAGGTCTAAACGCTCATAAATGGGCATCGCTGATTGGCTGAGGCATGGCTCAGCCCACTTACGAGCGCTCCGATTGGTCGAAATTGGCACCCGCGTGCATAATGTAAACATACAGTTAATAAAAATGTTAAAGTTAAGTCGAATCCATGGGGTCCTATGGCAGGCAAAAGGTGAACCAAAAAACCAATCACCGATGTCTGCTACTGTAGATCCAGGATGGGGTTGTGAGGGTATTTGTGGTTACACGGCGGGGGCCGGTGGGGAGTCACGCAGGGGGGAGAAGTGAGAACGCTGGTGTGTGTGTGTGGGGCAGCTGCTTCTTCTCACCTCTTCACCGCTTTCCTCTTCCTGCTCTTGGACGGCTCCTCCTTCTTTCCCTCCCCGTCCGACGAGGGCCGCTCGCGGTTGGCGTTCTCGGTGAGCGAGTGCTCGTCCGTCGCGACGATGTAGTCGTAGAAGCCCTGGTTGAACTGGCTGATGATGTGGCACCTGGGGAACGCGGTAGCGGTGAGCGTCTGAGCCGCGCGTCGTCACCAGGAGAGGCTCGCGAGGAGGTTCAGCCCACATTGCGCGCCGCGATCGGTTACACGACAGCCCGTCGCACACAACGTGTAGACACAGAGCGGAGGCAACAGACCTTGGTTCACTGCTGGGTGAGAGCGAACTGTTCATGACCAAACATCCCAATCATCGCCCCCTACTGCAAAAAACTGGGCAAGGTCCCTCCTGAAAGGGGTTTTGAGACTCGGTGAGACTCGGTAAGAAATAATAATAAAATCCTTCTCACGCCATGTCGGTCTCGGCGCTGGTCGAGGATTGCTTAACCGGTATTCTGATGCTTTGCATCATGTGATCATCCGTAACTCTAAACCGACAAGAACAATCCGAGTGATGGCATGTGCCTATGATGCCGGTTCACCAATTTCCTCCCATACCACAGATTTTCCTTAAAAAGTTAACTCTCTAATATCCCCATGCAGGAAACTGCTGCAATTAGGACAGCTACTGATTAAGTTAGCATTGTTTACATTGCCCTTGTTAAAACCAGAGTACTAATCAACAGCTCCAGTTTTGTTAGCACCAATGAATAAATTATATATATATTTTTTTGTAGGCCCCTCGGGAATGTATGTATGTTGAACTTCTTTCGCACCGTAAGGAACCAACCGTGCTAATCGGAGGTGCAAATGAGTTTCGGACCCTGGACAAAAGTTCCCGCCACCCTCCCCGACCCTAAATCCGGGCCTGGTGACAAGGCACAGAGGTGCACGGAGGGACACGGCGGGGCACGGAGGGACACGGCGGGACACGGAGGCACACGGCATGGCCCACCTGGAGTGCACGGGCAGTTCGGAATTGAGCACGCAGGCCGGGAGGCTGAACTGCTCGAGGAAGAGCTTGAGGCGGTAGCAGCGCTCGATGGCGTTGACGAAGACGAGCGTCTTGCCGCGCACGAGCCCCAGCTTGAGGAGCGTGTAGACCAGCAGGAACTTGTCCTCCTCCTCGCACTTCACGTGGTACTGAGCCAGCTGGCCGCTGTCGGGCAACTGAGACTCCTGCAGCTTGAGGGTCACCTGGGGGGGGGGGGGGGACGATGCGGTGAGGCCTCGTTGGTGACTGGGGCCCCGGTTCCCCGTGGACGTCTAAAGATATTGAGTCTCAATGCTGTTCTCAAGTAGGGGAGTGTTATCGCCTTTGTATGTGGAGGCTTTCTCCGGGTCCTCCCCAGTTTCCTCGCACGTGTTAAAATGGAAATGAAATGGAAACTTCCTGGGGCAGGACCCTCGTGAAAAAGGTCACGAGACTCGTTCAACCTCAATCGTTAACCACTCCGTGGAGGGGACGTCCCCGTGGCTTCCGTGCCATGCTAGGTACACCCCGAGCTCCTCAATTGTACGTGGGAAGACCACGAAGACACGAGTTAATAGGGGTCATCCGGGATGATCCGGCGTAAATCAGGGTCGGCCAAGTTCAGTCAGGGCGCCACGGTGGCGAGATGTTAACTAGCTCGGCCGGCATACAGGAGGTTGTGGAGTCAATCCCGACCCTAATGCCTGCTGCTGTATTCAGGACCTACTCAATGAGGGCAGCTATACCAAAATCAAGAGATTCTACCAACCGCCTGGTTACGAAAACCAACAATATCATCACTGATACGACATCTTTAATCGAACCAACCAAGCGGCTCTCTCTAAAACCCTCTGCTGCTAGACCACCCAGAGTTTATGGCCTACCAAAAATCCATAAAGAAGGCACACCCGCTCCATCCTATCGTCTCCACCATTGACTCACCCACCGACAAACTGGCCCTATTTCTGTCTGAGACCCTGTTTCCATTCACTGGCAAGACCACCTCAGCTGTACTTAATTCAGCTCATTTGGTTTCTCTAATTAAAGGCATCTTACTATCTCCAGGTGATTTGCTTGTTAGTTTCGATGTGGTCTCTCTTTTCACCCAAGTTCCTGTGCCTGACACCATTGCAATCATTGAAGATGTGGTCCAACAACCCCGGTGAGACACTGTCTTACCAACAATTACTTCACCTGGAATGGTACATTCTACAAACAAGATGAAGGAACCCCAATGGGGTCTCCCTTATCGCCAGTGGTAGCGAGTGTTTTCATGTACAATTTTGAGACAGATGCCATCCAGGCATCCAACCTACGTCCTTCTTTGTGGAAGAGATACGTAGATGACACGTTCGTGATCTGGCCACATGGCCCTCTAGCACTAGAACCAATTCTTCAACCACATAAATTCCATACATCCAGCCATCAAATTCACCATGGAAGTGGAAAAGGATGACAGGCTGGGTGTCCACTGTTCCAGCCTCTGTGGTTGGACCATCTCTAGCTCCACCCACCTACCTTGATGCACCCTTCTCAGGCCTATATAAGACCTCGTCTCAGCAGCCCTTTCTCACCTGAAGACGATTGCTTGTGTTGCGATCGAAACGTCGTGATCTATTATTTTGTATTTACGCAACTTGACCAAAAGACCCAACAGTATGTATATTTGGAGTTTGCTTGTTCTCCCTGTGGTGGTGAGGATTTTTCTCTGGGTCCTCCTGTTTTTCCCTCCACATTTAGAAGCATGCATTTAGGGCATTTGGCTCCTTCTGAAAATGAGCTACATAGCTCAGCGGGCCTTGCCTGGTAAAATAAAAATTAGTTTAGCTTAGGGTCAGCGGCGGTCAACAGGGGCGGCGGCGGCGCAACTCACGGGGTTGTGCAGGATGAGCTTCTTGAGGGCGCTGACGTCCTCGCTGAGCGTGGCCGACATCAGGAAGGCTTGGTAGATGTTGGGCAGGTGCCTGGGGGCACACACGGGGCGGGGGGGCGGGGTCTCGTCACTGCTGCTCAAAGTCGTTCACTTTTTGCAGGAGGAATTCGCTGCTGCGATTTCCCTACTACTGCTGTCAATTACTGCAAGTCAGCTGCTACAGCGGCGATTCACCACTGCACACACATCCATGTACCCGCGTGCATGTCTGTTTGTACGCATCCATACGTAGCAATGTACAATATTGTCTGTGTGCGCCCGCACGTTTGTGTGGTCGTTTGTTGTCTTTCCCCCGCACCTCTGCCCCAACAGCCTGCATGTCTAAATGGGGAATCTTTGTCTGTGTGCACCTGTGTGTGCACACATTCATGTGTCCGTGGGTGTGCATCCACATGCCTGTGTGTGCGTTCATGGGTGGCGCGCGTGTTCACGCGTGCGTGCGCTCGAGAAACTGACCCCAAGAGGACCTTGAGGTCGTTCTCAAAGCCGAAGGAGAAGATGAGGTCGGCCTCGTCGATGACGATCATCTCGAGCGATTCGCGCAGCGCCAGGTTTTTCTGCTGCAGGTGGCCGAGCACGCGGCTCGGGGTCCCCACCACCACGTCCGGTTTCTCCATCAGTAGGGGCCTGCCACAGGGGGTCCACGGGGTCACGTGGGTGGGAGGGGGGAAAACCTGGGTGAGACGGCTACGTGCACACACCCACGCTTGGCGACACCGCAAGGTCACGGGCCAAACGTCGTCACGTCTGCTGCTCGGGCTCTGCCCCGGCCCTGTTCGTCACGAGCGAGCCCCTCACCTCTGCGCGCTGAGCTCCACTTGCCCGGACACGTCGCACACGCGCACGTCGCGTGAGCAGTACGCCGTCAGCTGACCCAGCATGCGCGCCGCCTGCCGGCCCAGCTCCTTGGTGGGGACGAGCACCAGCGCGCGCACCGCCGGCTCGCACACCGCCTGCCAGCCGGAGACGGGGGAGGGGGGGCGGGGCGGGGGGACACGGGGGCACAATCGTTCACTCAAATGCGATTGTGAGATCTCTAAAACTACAAACAGCAGCAACATTTGAACGATTACGAAATTGGGGGAGCCAATCCTTGGAGGCCAATGTTGAACAGGCGGTGAGGGGAGAAGAGGTTGGGGTCTACGACAAATTACAAATGGCATGGTTGGTTTGGCTCTGAGAAGGACCGTTTAGAAACAGCAGGGCTCGGTATCGGAAGCGATGGGGTCAGTCGTGAAGGGTGAACGTTAGCAGGGTGGGCAGCGAGCGGCTGCCACCGTGGCGCGGGGCGACCCCGTGATGCAAGGCGTCGTGTGCCGGGCATCGTGTGTGTCGGGCGCACACCTCCTTGGCGGTGAGCACGCGCTGGATGAGTGGGAGGGCGTATGCCGCCGTCTTGCCGGAGCCTGTGCGCGCCCGCGCCAGCAGGTCCTTGCCCTCGAGCGCCAGCGGGATGGCTCGCTCCTGGATCAGGGTCGGCTGCGCCCAGCCCAGCTTCGCCACCGCCTAGGGGGTTGGAGGTGTCGGGGTGGGGGTGGGGGAAGAGGAGGGGACTATGGGTCATCCTCTTATGCATCACCCCAGCACCAAAAGCAGGCAATGATAATCAACGTGAACAGGCCACACTTGGTAATGTGGGAAGAAAACTGATAGGGAGTGGCACAAACTTGCCAAACAGACACAAGCATTCGCCCTCTTCAAGCATGCCAAACCCTCACTATGCCATATCAGGGCTCTACGATACATTTGACTACTATTGAGCTTCGATTTAAAGCTTTCGTGACTGCAGGGATTCATATTCTTGGTTCTTTCGGTAAAGTCACGTAGAAGGAAAATAATGAAATAATAAAAATTAAACATAATATGATAAAATTCTCACAACGTTTCGGCCACAACACAAGCAGCCGTCCTCGGGTGAAAAAACAGAGCTGTCGGAAAGACAGCTCTGTTTGTGTTGTGGCCGAAACGTCGTGATAATTTTATTATATTATGTTTAATTTATATTATTTTAATATTTCCCTTTTACGTGACTTTACCGAAAGAACCAAGAATACTATTGAGCTGTGACATTGCCAACACGGTGTAGGAGAGTATTGACAAAGCTCGATTATTGCAACTCACGAATCTACGGGACGTCTGGCAAAAACGTTACCAAGCTGCTTGTACAAAATTGTCTGGGACGTGTCGTGATGGGCACTGCAAGATCCGACCGTCCAGTGCTCACCGAGCTGCATTGACCTCCGGTTGCCGAACGAATACATTATAAGGTCACACTCATTACACGCAAGGTGCTTGCCACAAATGAATGACAATACATTGCTGATCTCGTCAAGGAGCATAAACCATCATGCGAACATCGGTTATCCTTGCAGCAGCTTTTGGCTAGCCATCGAACAAAGAAAGGTACCGTATCACACGGTTTCAGATGCGCTTCTGCGGCCGTCTGGAACGCACTTCCTTCCAATATTAAGAAGCCACTGGAGCTATGCACTTGTAAATGTAGATTGAAAACTAATTTCTCTATGTATGTTGAACTTCTTTCGCACCGTTTTCTGCTACTTGTATAAACACTTGTCATTATTTGTAACCCAATGCAGGATCCTTCTGAAAAAGTCCTACGATTAAGTGCGACTCTCTTGGATAAATAAGTCAATTATTATTAACCACACCAGCCAACCAGATCCTATAGCCAACCATGACCACACCAGCCAACCAGACTCTAGCCCTCACCACACCAGACCCTCGCCCTAACCACACACCAGCCACCCAACCCTAACCACACCAGCACCCAGACCCTGGCGCTAACCACACCAGCCACCCAGACCCTGGCGCTAACCACACCAGCCACCCAGACCCTGGCGCTAACCACACCAGCCACCCAGACCCTGGCGCTAACCACACCAGCACCCAGACCCTGGCGCTAACCACACCAGCCACCCAGACCCTGGCGCTAACCACACCAGCCACCCAGACCCTGGCGCTAACCACACCAGCCACCCAGACCCTGGCGCTAACCACACCAGCCACCCAGACCCTGGCGCTAACCACGCCAGCACCCAGACCCCAACCCTAACCACACCAGCCACTCAGACCCCAGCCCTCACCACAGCAGCACCCAGACCCTGGCGCTAACCACGTCAGCCAGTATCAACAATCATAGCCACACGCGCAAGCTCCACTATCACTCTCGGCGCACAGACCACCGTCACGTGGCTGTTTGGATGGCTACTCGATTCCCCACGGACTTCATTATCCGGCTGGAAATCGGACCCTGGCAATTAAATCAAACACCGGCCCACTGCTGGATGAAGACCTCCTCACGCTGTGTGGGTCGTGAGGGTTTGTGTGACCATACTTCACCACGCTGGCCGGCTCGGGTAACACTCGCTACTGTCGTTATCCTTGGTTTACAGCACAGCGTACTCACTTAAAACATGTTTTATATTACCAGGTAAGGCCCACTGAGCTGTACTGTATAACTCTTTCTCAGAAGCGTCCTGGCCACACATAAGCTCAACGAAGTGGCTTATCACGTGTAAATGTAAAGCAGTAGCCAAACACTCTCAAGGCACGTTTCTAACAACGCCACCGCCGCTCCATCCACGCCTTCACTCGGGCTGCGACCCCGACTCCTTCACTGAACCGCGGCAGACGCGGCCCGCAGCGCGAGCTCCCCGCCCGCAGCCACGAGGGCGCGCGGCTCGACACGAGCCGAGGCGCGGTGGCTCCACGTGGGGGGGGGGGACCCCGCGGCCTTCCCGAGGCTCGTCGAACTCGGCGTGGCGCGGCGCACCTTCAGGATGCGGTCGTCAAGCCCCATTTCGTGGAACTGCAGCCTCGCGGTCTCCGCCATGGCTCCTCTGCTGCTGCTGCTGCCTCCTCCGCCGCCGCCGCGCTGAGCTGGGGATGGGGCCCGGGCGTCGAGAGGCAGAGTCCGGCTCCTGCCGAACGCGAGCGGCGCGAGATTTTCCACTCGCACCCCCAACCACCACCACGTGTGTCCGAGCTGTGCGTGATGATGTCATCAACCCGTGACCTCATCGTGCGTGATGACGTTGCAAGAATTCCCGCACGCATGATTCCAAATCTCGTCGTACGCGATGACGTCATGGTCTGCCCAGAGCTTTCGGGGGCGTGATGACGTCACATAATCTACTTCGCTCGGTGACATCATTAATTCGCTCGCGTGGTGACGTCACGGCGCTAAAAAATTATTAAAATGTCCTGTGTATACGGTGGCTGAAGCCGCAGCGCGGAAACTGCATAAACGTGTTTGCAGTTTATAAAGCAACATTTACGAATGCTTGAGCCTTGGTTGTCCCAGAAAGAGTAAAGATAAAGGCCCAGCCCTGTCCGCCATTGCCTGCTCACGCCACTGCTGAAAGGGCCTCCACCTTGCGCGAATGAGCCCCCCCCTCCCCTATGAAGTGTATTTGGCCTACTCTTTTACATTAGGGTATAGTGCACACCAGAGGTGGGACAAAGTCATTGTTATGCAAGTCCAAGTCGAGTCTCAAGTCATCAAAATCATGACTCGAGTCTGACTCGAGTCCAAGTCACATGACTCGAGTCCACACCTCTGGTGCACACTACAGTACAAATAACTTAGTTACAGTACTACAAAACAGACGAGGACACGGTGGAGTGATGACGTCAAAATATGAATTTACCGCGTGACGTCACCACAATTGCCCGAGATGACGCAAAATCCCGCGTGAGCATTCCCCTCTGCCGACGTCACCGCGCACAGCGACGCGATGACGTCATGAACCGCCCCCCACCCGCTTCCCCAGCGCTCGTTGAGGACAAAGAGGGGGGGGGGTTGGCGAGAGGCGCGGTGACGTCACGACGCACGGAGGCCGCGGTGACGTCACGACGCACGGAGGCCGCGGTGACGTCACGACGCACGGAGGCTGCCGCGGCGCGCGCGAAGCTTTGCCTGGCGAAGCCGCTCCGAGGGCAGAAGCGGCGCGGTGGGTCCAGCGGCGGGCGGGCCACGTCCCGCGGGCTGCGGGGGGGGAAGGAGCGGCGAGAGCTCGGGGAGCCGAGCCGCCCCCTCCCCGCCTCCCGCGGCGGCCTCGCGGCGGCCTCGCGCCCACGGGAACCGCGCGCAGCGAAGAGGGCGAGGCCTGGGCGATGGGTGGCGAGCGCGGGGTCTGTGGGCGTCACGGCCCGGGTCTGAGGCTCTCCCGCGGCCCGGGTGCAGGGTCCATGAGGCTGCGTCTCACGCTAAAGGGGTCTCGGTGCCCATCGCTCGGAGCGCCCTTTGGTCTCCGTGTCTCGGTGTCTCGGGACCGGCCTCCTCTGTGCCTCGCGGGTCCGGGTCGTGAGTCGAGGGTTTGGGTCTCGGGGTGCCGCTCTCACGGCCTGGGTCCTCCTCCTCTTGAGTCCTCAGAGGCCTGTCCACCACGTCTCCCTGCCCGGTCCACCACGTCTCCCCGCTCGGGGTCTCTGATCCAGGGGGGGGGGGGCCGCTCTATTGGCGCCGCGATGCTCCATGGCAAGCTGCAAGGTGGGTGACCCGGCTGACCCACGGTCTCTTCTCCTTCTGTGTCCCCTGGCGCCGTAGGTCGTCGTCAGGATGAGGCAGAAGAGGAAGGCGAGCGCCATGCTCCCCGGTGAGTGGGCAAGGAGAGCGAGAGAGTGGCGGGCTCATTCATTCGTGGCCAAACGTTGCAGGGCAGAACCCTCCCCAAAACGAGTCTCGAGACTCATTGGTGTGTTTTTTGGTCTGGATACGCACCGTGGACATCGGCAAACTGCATGTTCACCACTGGAGCGTGTTGATGACCAAGACGTAGCCATACGAGATACGTGGGGATGGATGGGGACTCGGAAGTGCACCTAGCCTGGTACAAGCCATGGCTTGCAGTGGTGGACTAACTAAATGCGCACCAGGTTTCCCCTAGGTCGGCTGAACCTAAAATGAGTACCTGTTGCGGTGTGTGAACATGAGCTGTGGGGAGACGAAGGCGGCCGGGCATGGAACACGCCACCCCCCCCCCCTACTCGTGTGCTGGTGTTCACTTTAATAGGTGCTCGCTAATCCCCCTCGACCAAACAATCTGTAAAGGCTGTACGGGTGATCTTTGTATTGTAGTCTGACTGTCTGTATGTGTGTGTCTGTGTGTGTGTGTCTCAGGAGGGGACAGCAGAGAAGGGAGCTCGGGACAAGCGGTAATTTCACTTTTCTCACTTGGGTACAAACTGGTACTAAATATCTCACGTTTTCCACGTGGACTCACTCTCCTCAGTCATATATGAATGTGGAATGTGTTCACTGTTGGCTTATGGGTGTAAATAACTCCCATACTCGTTGTTGGAGTAGGAAGCAACGGCAGTGAACCACTTGGTCTCACCACATATCAGCTGCGAGTGAAGAATATCGGTCGGTGTGACCTTCGGGAGACGAACATTTCTTTCTTTCTAGCAGGGCTGGCTGGCAAAGTGGTGCCGTTCGAGTGCGGGAGAGGTCACGCGAAAGAGATGTCAGGAGCCGTTCCGTAACGGCTCTTTCTGCGAGATGTTAACTACCTCGCCTGGTATACAGGAGGTCGTGAGTTCGATCACAACCCTGACAGCCCGTATATATGTAGTTTACATTCTCTTTCCGTGGTCGTGTGGATTTTTCATCGGGGTTTTGGTTTTTTCTCCGGGTTCTGGTTTTTTCCTCTGCGTTTAGAAACACGCGTTTTAGAGTATTTGGCTGCTATAACATTTCCACGTGATAAGCCACTTCGTTGAGCTAACATTTGTGGCCAGGTCGCTTCATGAAAAGAGCTGCATAGCTCAGTGGGCCTTAGCTGATAAAATATAAATAGTTTAGTTTTAACACGAGGTGATTATGCGCTGCACTGCAAACATGTTTGTGTGATGATGTATGTATGTGGAACTTCTTTCGTACCGTACGTAGCTAACCATGCTAATCGGAGGTTTGGGTGTGATTGTGTTTGTGCATGTACAAGCATGTGGCGCACGCTGACAACAGTGAGCTCTGGACTAAGCGGTGGCTCCCTGTGCCCCACAGGATGGCGCGGTGAACGTGGTGATCTGTGACAAGTGCTGGGAGGGTGCGGGCGATGTGGTGGTCGGGGCCGAGGGGAAGTGCTTCTGTCTCAAGTGCGGGGAGACTAAAGGTGAGCGACTTGGGTAGAGGGAGACTCGGAGAGAGAGCATAGACCAGGGGTGCAAACGCATTATTCCATTATAGCGCTCGGTAGCGAAGTATAGGAGAGAAAAGGTGATCACATGTTTATTTGTTTGATTTCTGTGAATACTAGACATGTTAAGCGTCATCGCCCCACAGCAAGTTTCACGAATTGTCACAATTCGTGATCGCCGCTTGATCCCGTATTGTTTCCCATTTACTCTGTCTTGTTTGTGTCGATGTGTTAACCCCATTAGCCTAAATGTAACGCAAGCTTATCGTTTGCATAATTTGCGATTCATTGATGGTTTGCGTGTGCAGTAAAAGGCATGCATCACAAGCTTTAAGCGTCTTCATTAACTGATGAATCGAAGCTTCCTTGCACGCCTAGTTAACACGTCTAGTTAACACGTCTAGTTGTTAACGCGCCTCGTGTGTTCCACAGCCCAGTCGCCCTCAAAGAGGTTCATGTCCATCAAGGAGGAGGCGGCACAGTTTGCCTACCATGGGAACCACAACATGGCCTTGGCTAACGCCTCGCTCTCGCTGCCCGGAGGTGAGCGACGGGGAGGATATAACCACCGTCTCCTCCGCTTGTCCGTGAACGTTTGAGCCACAGGTTGATTCGTGAATGTATTTTTGCTAGGGGTGCACTGAATTGCCCTGATTACTAATTCGGTCAATTATCCAATACCTAATTAGCTATTTAAATTTGAAGCCAAATATTTGTTAAATGTATTTTTCAACAAACTATGAAGTCTCTCTGTGTTTGGCTCGGTCTGTCTACCTGTGTCTATCGGTCCCCCTTTGTGTGTCTGTTCCCCTCCATTTCTTCTCTTGTCCCTCTTTCTGTCTCCCTTTGTGTCTCTATCTGTCCCCCCATGCCTCTGTCTGTGTCTGCCTCCTCCTGTCTGCCCTCTCCCTCCCCCTCTCCATGTCTTTATTCTTCTGTCTCCCGCCGGTGCGGTCGTGAGCGCAGCAGTGGTGGCCGGACCCTCGTCGGCCGCGGTGAGCTGGGCCGACAACCTCCCGTTCGTCCCGCTGGCCGAGGCGTCGAACCCCCGCCAGTCCCCGGCGCAGCCCGAGGCCGAGGAGGCCGCCGCGCCGCCGGGGGTGTGCGCGTCGGTGCACAGCCTCCTGCACATCTCGCAGGGGAAGCCACAGAAGAAGTGAGCGGTGGCCGTGGGGGGTGGTGTTGGGGGTGGGGGGGGGTACAGGGCTCAGATGAGTCACAATTGGGGCTCTACATCTTCTTCTTTCAAATGACATCATAAAACGCAGTAGCGATTAGCATGGTTGTCTATGTACACTGCAAAAGACGTTCTACATACATACAGAAGGCCTCATTTACTGATGAAACTCAGAAAGCCCAAACCAGTCCAGAGTCTGCCTGTGCAGACACCTTCCACTGGAAATCTTTGGTTAATAGGCCAGCTCACCGTGATTATTAACCAGGGGCATGCAGTGTGAACCGTAGGTTGGCGGGAGGGGCTGGGCGGGGGATGGCGGTCGCATGCACCGGAGTGGAGAATCACTGGTGTAGAGGGCCCAGATTTCTGATTGGTTACGCTGCTATACTGCTCGTGCGAGTAGAAATGCACGTTTGTTAGTTTACAAACGGTGAGAGGCGAGTGTCCGTGTGTGGCGTGATTTTGCAGGTACGACGTGACGTGGGCGGAAATCAACAGGCGGTCGGTGTCGCCGGAGCGCCTCTCCCCGTACTGCGTCAACTCGTACCTGCGCAACAGCAAAACGGCGCTGGCCGTGGTGCGCGCCGAGCTGCAGGACAAAGGCCTCCCCATAAACTCGCGCTCCGGCGTGGTCACCACGCTCACCAAGCTCTGCGAGGGTACGGGGACACGTGGCCGCGTGGCCGCGTGGCCACATGGTCCGCGTGGCAGCTCGGCTGTCCGTTATGCCGCTCTCGCCACGGCCCAGCGGCAGCCGTGATAGCCGCTTCTTGAAAGGTTCACGGTTCGAACCTGGAGGCTGCCTTGATTATAATATATATCTTTTGTTTATTATGAATTGAAAACTAATTTCTTTAGAAGTCGTGGTTGTGTTTAGTTTGTTGTCCTTCCACCGCACTTCCGATTAGCACGGGTGGCCTCATACGGTGCGAAAGAATTTGAACATACATACTGCGGTGTGTAATAACCCTAATAGGCACCGTCTGTGAACGTTAAAGATCCCGTGACGTCATTCGCAAGAGCAGGCCAATGTGTACCAGCATCATGGTCCAAGTTCGCCAAGTTAGAAAAAATACACGGAAAGTGTTGTTACTCAATTGGGATTATACTTGGCAAATCAATCACCCCCTCCTGCAACAACTTGGCAGGAGCCTCCTGAAAAAGAGTCATGAGAATCGTGATTTCCTGCGTAAGGAAGCATTAGAATAAATAAAATCATTCATCGAGTTCTCTCCCATGGCTTGGCCTGTGGGGAGCTCGGATACCCTCTGTGTGGTCCGCACTTGGCACGGCCGTCCGACCACCCTGCGGTGATCACTGCGACCGTCTCGGAGAGCGCTGGTTCCCTCGCCGCGTTTGCGATGCTTTGCTGGAGCCCCGTGCCCTGCTGCTGCAGCCGCTGCCACTACTGCCGCTTTTACCGGTCGTAGGGGAGGTGAAGGACCTGGTGGAGGACATGCAGTTCCTGATTGCGCAGTACGTCCCGCGCAAGCTCATCGTGTCCACACATGCGCAGGACCTGCACGGAGACGGCACCGTCGTGCGGTTATCGCAGCTGCAGAGCACCGTGTAAGAGCACCACCTGCCTGTTTGCCCATGGGAATATTAGCCTCGCCGCTGGTGATTGGACAGCACGCTCAGCTGTCATGTGCTCTGATGGACGGGACCGCCCTGTCCGAGGAAAACCGCACCACCGATTAACACGGTTGTCTACGTACGGTGCGAAAGAACTTGAACATACTTCGTTGAGTTATCATTTGTGGCAAGGTTGCTTCTGAAATGAAACTAATAGCTCAGTGGGCCTTACCTGGTAACATAAAAATTGTTGAGTTTTAGGGAATTTATTTTAGTGATTTCATTACCTTTCCTATTCTTTGCACTCCTATCGTTTTTTTGTATTTATTGTTGTAACTTTCTGACCCACCCTACTGGACATCTCTGAAAAAGTGTTTCACAGCTCATCGTGTTTTTCCAGGATAAATAAATATTCTGTTCATATATACATACAAAGCAATCCCCCCCCCCCCCCCCCCCTGCTATGTGGTTGAAAAGCAACCACATCTTTCGAAACTCGAGGTCACCGTGGCAATCGTTCCAACAGATATCGGTTGAAAATGTTTTATTCTATCGCAAAGTGACTTAGTGTCCCACTCCCCGTGCGTGTTTGCCTTTGTGAGGTGTCGTCGCCTGAAATGCGGCGACGTGTGGCTCGGTCTGGCTCGGTCTGGCCGCGCCTGTTTAACCCGTCACGTGTGCACCCCTCCCCTGCCTGCCGCCGCAAACGCAGCACCATGCTGGACGAGTACAGCTACATCATCCAGCAGCGCGGCTCCCGCTTCAACCAGGTGACTCACGGCCTGGGGCCCGGCATGTTCAAGGCCTTCATCAAGCTCCTCAAGACGCTGGCCGAGGAGGAGATCGAGCACCTGAGCAGCAACTGAGAGCGATTGAGAGTGACGTTGCCCCACACAGCCTGGTGCCTCACCCTCCCCCCGCACTTCCTCCCACGCACCCCTTCATGCACCCCCTCCCACGCTTGACGGCCCCCAGCCACCTCGCTGTGAATCCTCGCCGTGTCGGAGTAACGCGTGGGCCAGTAGTGATAGCCGGAGTGAAGTCGGGATGTCGTCTCCCTGCTCACACAAGCGTTAGGGGCGCTCGTGGCTTGAAATTCCACATCGTCCTGATCAGAGCCAGCTTTTCAAGATGATCACGGTCCACTTTCATTGATACCCATGTTTACAGAGTGGTACTTATTAAAGTACCCCCCTTTAACAAAGTGCTACTTTGTTTACAAGCTGAATAGGGCTGATGATTTGAATCTAACCCCTCCCACCTTAACCAGGATTTGAACTCGCAAATCCTGGTTGTGGGGGGGATTGAGAGTCGATGGCTGTAAGCCACCCGGCCGCATGAACTAATTCTACAGAAAGGTTCTGTCATAGACGACGGAATTGCTTGCGCGTAGGCCTCGTCGGTCGGAGGCCGCAGGTTGGCCAGCGAGGTGCTGTCACTTTCTCATTTCCCGGTTATGTTTTCGGCTCCGTTGGAGGCCCCCACCAACTCCACATGCGAGGCCGGGCGCTGCTGTTCCCTGTCGCCGCGCGGGCTAGCCCCCCTCCCGCCCCGCCCCCCTCCCGCCCCCCTCCCGCCCCCCTCCCAGCGCTCACGGTGCTCTACACAGGTCCCTGTGCCAGATATACAACCACGCACAGGGCTTCCTCCCGTGTTTTATTTCGTTTATGTGGATTTACGTTTTCCTAAATGCGTTTTAATGAAGTTTTCGTAAAGCTAATCATGCAGTCAGGTTTTTGGGGAAAAAAAAAAGAAGTCCGACCCGTGGCACCGTGTTTTCAGTTGTGTCGCCGGTGCCGTCGCGCCGCTGTGCGTGCGCTTTGTGTGACGGAGGAGCACGCAGTCAGTCGGTGCGGGGGACCTCTGTCGTAAGCGATCGTTCGCGTGAATTTTATTTGTAACCAGGTTCCTTCGCATGTTGAGACGGAAGTCTGTTTTTTACAAAGGAGGCCTGGGATGCAAAGTACTTTATACAGTTTCAGTGCGGAACAACGATAGCAAACGTTGAATAATTCGACGTGTTTGAGCTCAATACGATGAGCGTTCGCAAGCTCGTAAAACCGCCTCTTGGTGCTGTGAAGTGACGCCACTTTCTCCAGCCAATAGGACGCCAATAAGTTATCGCTCATTGCATTTGGGTTGGTGCACAAATTCCACCGTCAACTGGTCTTCATCGACAAGCGACTGTCCTGTTCACTCACAAGTAGCACAGTCTACCAATCTATTCCATAGCGCCATCGTCATCCACTCGATCCGCCTGTTCCACAGTCGGCCCGGTCCATTCACAAGCTGCGCGCCGGGTGGACCAACTCTCGTCGCACGCGCCACCGTGGACGCTGCTGGCCAGACTGCCGCTGCTGCCGCCACTGCCGAAGGCCGCGGATGTGGTGCGGCGTTCTTTTAGAGAACGGCGGCAGCGGCGTATGAGGAGTGCCGCAGCACGCTCCCGTGCTCTGCTGCTGCTGCTGCGGAGTGTGAAATAAGCGCCTGGAGCTTTTGTGTCGTCGCTGTGTTTTGTTAGCTTTGAATAAAATCCCGAAATCCGTCGTGACTCGAGCCTCGCGTGCGTGGTCCTCCGTGCGCTGTTGGCGGGCGCCAGCGCCGTCCACGAGACGAGCAAACGATTGTCTTGCCATTCGAGAATTTCGGTAAAAAAAATGTCGTAAACAATATTTTATGAATCGTTCAAATGCACAGTTACACTCAAGAAGGGCACAACACAACACAGGTTCAAATTCATTTGTGTCGTTCATGTGAATATAACATACACGTGGAAATGGTGAGCATACGTGTCGGTGTTCTGATGGTAAGGAGAGTATTGTTATTGTTCCCATTGGGGCCATCGCGCCTGTTAGACCAGTGTTTCCCAGCCGTATTCATTTAAGTCGTAAGCTGCTTTAAGATTCTACTCTTGCGAGTCTCATCAGCAACCGGTTAAGTGCTGCTGGAGTGACATTAGTTCACAGGCAAGAGGCCTCTGCTAGCTGTGCGGGATCTGTTCAATGCAGGACAGCAAACATCGCCCAACATGCACGGACTGGCCGTGCCTTGTCAATGCAGACACTTGTCCCCCTCCTGCTGGCGTGGATTGACGCTCAAGAGGACGGCCGCCGTGGAGATGGACCTTCGAGATCGGCCCGTGTGCAGGAAGGGCGAGACGGGGCTAAGGCCTCGCAGGGCCGTTAGGGATGATGGCAACGACTTGTGTGTGTGGGGGGGGGGGGGGCCTTCATTAAGCAGTGGATAGATCATGGCTGATTATAGTTGACATGCGCACGCGATTCGATGCATCTATAGTGAGCGTCACCGATTCGCATGGTTGGTTACGTACGGTGCGAAAGAAGTGCAACATCTGTGCGACTTGGTGCGCGTTACACGCCTCTGTTATCCCCATGCGGGGTGCGGGGATTGCGACAATGCGGGCAGCAGAGGGCAGTACAGCGTCGTACGTTGCTGGGTTGTACTTTAAATGTTTCAAGTCTCTGGCAACCCTGGCCGATCGGCGTTCGTGGAGTATGGGCAACTGAGGCGCACGGGGTGGGCAGGTCTTGATGCGGCAGTGGGTCGCGGACGTCTGTACGCGTGAGCCGTGTCCAGGCGCTGCATATCACCGTGCAAAGGGGCGCCACAGTGGCGAGATGTTAACTCCCTCGCCCGGTATGCATGGAAGTCGTGGGTTCGATCCCAACCCTGACGCCTGCTGTCTATTTTGAGTTTGCGTGTTTTCTCTCCCCGTGGTCGCGTGGATTTGTCTCCACATTTCTTTCCCTCCTTTTTCTATTTCCCTGATTTCCCCAGCCCGTGTTGACCCTTCCCTTCCCCTCGCAGATCACATTTCCGCCGCTCCCCGTGCTTGCCGGTTTCATTTGATCAACATTAGCAAAACCCGATCGCTTATATCCACCTCTGCTGCAAAGCATCGAATCCATTCCCTCATCCACACCCGTCCGGACGACTGCAACTCTCTTACGCTCGGTTGGCCCATTCACTCTTTTGCCCCCAACCCCATCAACAAATCAAACACGACTCTGCTCGGCTCATATTCAACCTTCCTCACAGTTCCCAGACCCCGCCCCTCGTGCACCTGCACTGGCCCCCTGTCTCCTACCGTCGCATGTTCAAATTCGTCACGCTCCTCTTCAAATACCTGCATGGTCCTGCCCCACCATATCTTGCCACGCTAATTTATTTCTACGTGTCGCCTTCTCGCCCCTCTACGTTCACAACCCTCGTCGTCTTTCTCTGCTCCTCTTCTCCTTGCGCTCAAGCCACGCTTTCGTTATTCTTCTCTTCTTACCTCCCTTCGCTGGGGCCACATTAAACAATCACCTTCGCTTGCTAGTTCCCGCTCCGCACTCAAAACTCACTGATATTCCAGAGCTCACCCCACAACCCCGAATCTTCACCGCGTATCCGCCACCGTTACTTTTTTTCCATATTCTCACATGGCTCTCACTCATTCCCCATTCATTCAATCCATCATTTACTGTCATCAATTTCGCTTTCACCGATTTAACGCATCCCAGACCTCCCCCCCCCCCCCCCCGTTGCTTCCTCTCATCTGTTTAATTTAAAGTATTTGGCTGTAATACATTTGGACATGATACGCCATTTCGTTAAGCTGTCACTTGTAGCCAGGTCGCTTAAAAAATATCTACATAGCTCAATGGGCCTTACCTGGTAACATTTAAAAAATAGTTGTAATCGTGTAATAAATAATACTGTCATTGCTCCCGGGGGAATCTCTCCCAATATCGCGCGCGCTGCTTGACCCGCTCCGCGCCACGAGGGGGCGCCACACGCCTGGGGCGCGTCTCGGGGCGCTGGGACTTTCTCGCTGCCGGGACTCCGAATTGATCCTGCTCCTGATCGATTCATACGCCCCCCTGTCCTCGCCACAGCGGCTATTCACAGCTCTTTCTCTCTCTTCCACGCGGCGAGGTGTCACGGGGAGTAGAGGCCGGCAGGGCAAGGCTGGCTCGTGTGCAGGGCAAGGGTCCTCGGGTAATAGTAGTAACAGGGGTTGTGCAGCAGTGTGGGGCAATGATAGGAGTCGGGCTCGGGCAGTCGTGCGCAGAGGGGTAAGCTACGATTAGGGACTGAGTTGTGGTCAGGGGCATGGCTAGGGCAAGAGCAAGGTTATAGGGGCAAGGTTATGGACCGATGAAGGGCACGGAGGTAGGGGCAGAGGATAAGGGAATGGGGACCGCATCGCTCTGCGTTTTTCCTACCCCGCAGCCACAGCGGCCCGGTTAGAATCCAGTCTCACGCCCCCGGATCTCGCTCTCCTCCCTTCCTCCCCTCCGCCGCCGCCGTTGTTGTGATTCTTCTTGTATCTGTGGCGCTGATGGGCGCCGCTCGGCCGTGACCGCTGCTGTGGGTACTTGTAACGAGAGGGTCCCCTCCACCCCCCCCTCCACAATCCTCTCCCGCGAAGGTGTCCTGAGTCTGGCTGCCCCTCCACTCCGCTCCTTATCTCTGCGATGTTGCTTCGCGGGGAGCGGCGGGCCGTGACTGTCTGAGACGAGCGGGGAGCTTCCGAACCTCCTTATCTCTCTATCGGAGGAAGAACGATTTAGAGAGAAAGTATCCAAGGCGCTGCTGCTGCTTTGTATCGTTTCTGTCGCACGGGGCGCGTCCCGTAATCCTGGCCGGGATCTAAAGTACGAGCTCTGTAAATAGCGCGCTTCAAGCCGCGGGCGGCGGGCGGGAGCGAGAAAATGGTTTTGTCTGCTGAGATGTTGGCGAGATGATGTCGTGGAGTTACACACGTCTCGCAGCCCCCCTCCACCCCCCATCCTCCCACCAGACTTCACGCGACTCAGCTGTTTTCTTGCAGCTGCACACCCAGTGCTGCTTGTGTGTGTGAGTGTGTGAGCGAGTGTGTGTCACTGGTGTATTCAACACCAGTGACGATTATCTAAACCGGTCCTGGGCCTCCCCTAGGTCGACTCAGCCTAAAACGAGTACATGGTGCGGTGTGTAAACATCGCCACTAGGGAGACAAAGGCGGCTGGGCGTGGTGTTGGCCATCCACGCCCTTGTGTGCCGTGCTGGCATTTATAGGTGCACGCTAACAGCACTTGCCCCTACAATCTGTGAAGGCTATACGGGGATCTTTATCTTTGTCTTTATGAGTGTGTGAGTGTGCTACGAACCCGGCGACCCGAGTTCAATTCCCGCTCACGGTCAACACAAGTGGCGATTATCTAAACCAGTCCTGGGCTTCTCCTAGGTGGACTCGGCCTCAAATAAGTACTTGGTGCGGTGTGTCATCATTGGCCACCGACCCCCTCGTGGCCCGTACCGTCCTTCATAGGTGCTCGCTAACATCCCCAAAAGTCTGTTTAAGCTGTATGGGGGGGGGGGGGGGGTCTTTGTCCCTCCCGTGCTTTCCCCCACACACGAGGAGTGGTAACATTCATTATCATCATCATCAATCGGCCAACATCAGTCCGCTGCTGGATGAAGGCCTCCCCAAGCCGGCCATCTCCTCATGGGCCTGCGGGCAGCAGCTGCGCTCCACAACACGGAGCCTCATCCATGGCTGTGGAAACAACAGCCAGAGGAACAGCATGACTTGTCAAGCGCGTGACGACACGTCAGGGGCGCTGCTGTGCGCCTTTGAGTAGAGACGCAGGGACGCAATGCACTCCTCTAGATTTGGCAATGCCAACACCAGAAGCGGTGGCCTGTGCAGATCGTTGGGCACAGACGAGAAAGGTTGGGCAGGAGACACGAACAAGAGCAGAGACGTCGCGACTGCGCTTCAGAAATATTGTATTTATTTATTAAATATTATTTAATTAAAATACTTAACGAACATTGAAACGCGTACGGGGGCAGCCCGGGTATATAGCTACTATTTAGCTACGATATAACTACAAGCGCTTTCTCTCGGCTTTAGCGTCACACCTCACGAGAGGCAATTGATTTGGCTCATCGAGGGTTGAGCTGCACGTGTTAATAGTAATAATAGCTCCTCGCGTTTAGCACGAGGCCTGGTTTCACTCGTAGGGAATTAAAGTGAGAGCCATCAATCTCACGGCCGTAATTTACTCGGGGGCCTGTAATTAGAAAAGCAGGTTTGGCAAACATCACCTCGCTAGTTTAACACCGTTTTGAGGCTTTCGAGACCGATATCCGTAACAGTCGAGGTTTTTTTTGGCTGGCTGTTGTAATTACTGGCGAAACGTCGCATTCGAATGGTGAATGTTGCGGGTTTACGCGCCAACACACAGCCGGTGTGCTGAACGAGTAACGAATTGGCACGTTTTGTCTACGTGACAAACCTTATTAATTGGCTGTGTCGGGTTGGTGGCGGGTTTAACGACGCATTTATATTTACGCGATCTCACCCAAAACACCTCTCTCATGGATAATCTCTCTCTAGCACTTTGAGAATATTATTGGGGGGTGCGTGGGCCGCTCGGGCAGTGCGTCACGCAGCTCTCTCTCTGTGTGTATATATAGAACAATCTCTCCGTGTCGTCTCGCCTAATCGCTCTAAAGTGGAGCGTGGTCTCGGTAATTAGGTTCCCAAATTATAGG